GAAATGAAGTAATCCACTCTGAGACTTTAATGCAAAGGGGACACAACGAAGATAAACGTATAACCGGTCATAACCAAGAGAGGGCGCTGTCGCACTATTTACATCTGATTCACATGCATTTCCAACCATCTCAGCGCACTCACTTAGACTAAAAGTCACAAACAGTTCAAAATAGAACCTTCATCTATATCAAACTAATAAATAACGTTTGTTGCAGATTATGGCAACACAATCTGTAAAAAGCAGATTCCACAATTTATGTGTCGTATTGAAGTTTTAGTCTAGTCTTACTGAATGTCTGCTGTACTTTGAAGAGAACTGGATAGTGTAAAATTAAATCCTCTTAAGATGCTGATTTTAAGAGAATTCTACAAGAAGATGCAAATGTGCAGAGAATAAATGCAGCATGCACTCTGGTTCTGCGTAAACTGAGACCATTATTCTTTGATGTCTCGATGCATGCTCAATCATAAATGTAAGAAAATTCCAGAAAGCTGATTCTCTTCAGCTGGACGATGCGTTTTCAGTGGGAGACACGTTTCATCACTCATCTCAACACTTACATGAACTGAATCTGCTTTTTGGCATAATGTTTGATGTCGATGAGAATGTGTAGTGTAAATGAAATGAGAGTTTCCAGCACTATTTTTTTACTGTTTGCAGAATATACAATGTTGACATTTGGTTGTCCTTTCCTTGCTCTGCCTCCGCGAATCTTCACTCCTCATTGTCTTCAATACTGATTTAAGTAGGGTTTTTTGTGTAATTCTACTGTGTTCAAGTGCAATAAATAAGCTTTACAATACTACTATATTAGCAACTTATACATGAGGGATTGGAAGATTTTAACAGCTGGGTAGACTGTTGACCAACTTCAGCAATGAAATAATGCTAGCCTTTTTGGGAGAACTCAGCTATTCAGCTGACAGAGACATATTCGACGTTACATATTTCAAACAGTTTTTAAGCTGGAATTCATCATTCTGAAAAACATACTGAAAACCCCTTACATTTAAATGCTCTTTATTGTGTTGCTACAAAGTATAAAGTACAATGCTTAAAAAGGCTTCAGTTAGACATGGAATTCATGTCTATAACCCTTCACAGTGATAAAGGCAGCATCCATTGCCAGCAAAGGAGCACTAAACAACAGCAGATTATAAAATACCCTATGATTAGCTTTCCTAGACGTGCTTTTTTTTTCTTTTTTTTGCATGATTTTCAAGGGATAATAGAGATTTTAATACAGGATGCAGAATTAACCAACACATTCTCACACCCGACTCATCACGCACTAAAACTTGTTCTGGAATTGCTTCTTGTCATATTTTAACACTGGGGTGCCTAGTTCATATCAGCATATCAGTATAGTGTCAGAAATTCACATAAAAACAGCATGCATTATATACGTTGGCACAGTTAATGGCAGTTTTGAGTTTAAATGCAAACTTTCTATTGGAATTTCTGCTTTTTTGCCTCATAAAACTTTTCTCTAAATATAGTGATAACATCGTTACGGTGAGGTTTTTTGATCACAAAAATCATAAAGTGTAAATCTTATATTGTGGTAAACAATCCTGTTTTAGGTTAAATTACATATTTCCTTGAACTACACATTAAAATTAAACTTTTTAAAACATTTTAAAACATTTCTTTGGTTACCACATCTTTCATCAGCGACAACACCAGTAGAGCAATTTTTCTTGGGAATGTTGAATAATTACACTTAAGGGGTACCCAGTACATTACAATGCGAAGCAACTATGTCCTCAACAAACATCAGTATATTAACACTGTTGTAATATTAGTCTGCAATGACTTGGTCATTCTTGCGTGTCTCCACTTTGTATATCGTCTGGTAGCCATCATCCCAGGCATACAGCTGCTTGTCTCCGGGGTGATAGTGGATGCTGCTATGGCTGGTGTAACGTTTCGGGAAGAACATCACAGGACTCTCATTGCTGCACAGGGAACGGGATGGCACAGGGAAAAGAAAGAGGTTTGTCATGTAGATACTGTATGTATGTATGCAGGTGTATACTGTGCATGCATGTGCATGTGTACAAGCCAACCTGTGAATGGTGTCATGGATGTCATAGAGACACTGTATGGTGGAACGTCCTCCATAGCGTGTGTTGTAGACCACATAAAGGGTGCCACATATTAGGAAAGCTCCTTCAGCGTCATGGCTTCTACACTGTGTGTCCCACACAGACTCTACTGCCAAGGTTCCTAACATATAAAGAAACAAAGCTGGACTGAATGGATATATGTTCTTGCTTTATGTAAGTGGCGAGATCAAACCATAGAGGGTACAAAAGATGGATTTACTGCTCTGGGCAAACGTTTTGAGTCCCCCATCATTTCCCAAAAAATATGCAACATAGATGCATTTATTAAATTTACATAGTATATAGGCAAAAATAGAGTTTATGCAGTTCTTATAGTTTTAAAGCAAATATTTGATGTGACTACAACACAGCCTGAACTCTATGTTAGGGAACCCTTCTTGCTATTTTTTTAAGTAGTCTAGGGGAATAGTTCTCCAGGCATCTTGAAGGACATTTGATGTTGGCTGCCTTTTGTTATGTTCTCTCTCAAGATTATCCCACACTGCTTAAATAATGTTTCTGGGCTCTGGGAAGGCCAATCCATGACTGATAGTGTTGCATTGTGTGTTGTTCTATCCAGGTACGCTTTTACTACATTAGCAGTATGTTTGGGATCATTGTCATGCTGAAAAATGAAGCCAGTTCCTTTCAGATGCTTTACAGATATTATTGCATGGGGAATCAGAATCGTGCTACTTTTATGCTTTGATGAGACCATTTATGGTAACGATAAACTGCACAGTAAATGGGTCAGCTGCAGGGCCAAATGCATTTCTCAGGTCCTGTGTCAGGTCTTTACCAGAATTCTTTCAAATTCTTTTAGTAATTACTTGCAATAGCTGTTGTTTTTTTTAGCCTTTCATGTTCTTTTGACCTCCACTTGTCCAAATAAATAAATAAAGCACTTCTTTGAAAACTGTTAGGAGCAAGAACTAGAATGAGTGAACAAGCAGCCCATGTACAGAAAAACTTTGAAAGACCTTTAGATCTGTATAGTCCTCCTTTCTGACTTTTTGAATGACCTGAGAGCATAAACTCATCATTACGTTTTTAAAGAGCAAATAAGGTTATGCCTGTTTTCCC